CCGATCTTTTTCCTCATCGCGGGTATTGGGAAAAGTAATCGGGCCAGGGTTAATTCCGTGGCCCCGGCGTGGTTCAAGACCACATGCCGGGGCCACAACAATCTATTCGAGAAATGGGCTAGAACGCTGAGTGATGGCTTCGTCCACGGGAACACGCGGACGGCAAGTTGCAATGCAAATCCACTTTCAAGGTGTTCGGGACGAAGAAATGCCCCCAAAGCGTGTGTGCGCTGGCCAATACGATTGAGCCTCTGGACGACAAATAAAAAACCCAATTCTAGGCACACACGCGTACGCTGACTGCACGTGAACTTCGGCCTCCGCGTAAAGCCCAAAAATAGGCGTTTGCGTAGCTACCCTACTTTCCCGCACCGATTTCAAGTCCAAATTCTGGGTCTTGTTGTTGAAGACTGACTGTTGGAATGTTCCTATTCCTTATCACCTGTAAATAATGCTACAGTCTTGTTGCGACGTTTATCACAGCGACCACCACACAGGTCAACCGAAACGATCAGCTTCGCGTATGCAAGTCAGAAGTTTGACCTTAAAACATTACTCACCGAGTTGCCAAATGACTCATGAAGGTCTTCTCGAAGAGGACCGTGGCACTTTTCTCCTCGACGGGCATGTACGTGTTGATGATCACGCGGTTGCGCAAAAGGGCCTGCTGCGCGGTAACCTGCAGCATCGTGGCGTTCTGCTCCTCCAAATCGTCCAAACTCCCTCGACTGATGTAGGCGATCATTAGGTTGTCTATAACCAGTTCAACAGACGCAGGGTACACTTTGCGCACAAGGCACAGTAGTTTGGCCGTTTTAGTTGTGATTTCGCACATACAAGCTAAACTAGCGTGCAGGAATCAAGCCTCCCGGTACTTTGACCCCAATCTTGCAGACTCTGAAAGGCTGCATTTGAAAGTACGTTCATCGAGACGGATCGACAAATATTCCACCAGATCAACGGTTCATTTCTACCACAATGCGTCAAGTGTAACTTGTCTCAGTTCATAAGTTAAACTGATTACAAGTCGAATCAATTGTGTTCACCTTCACTCTAGTATAATTACGCAGAAACTTTGATGTGTCGAGTGGAATCGGCACTTGACTGTAACAGAGATCGTCTTTTTTTGTCATTCGAACATTCAAAAACAGATTTTTTTATGATAATATGCAGAGTTTGAGTAAACACATAGACTGGGAGTGGACGGAGTTTCTACAAAGTAGTGTAAATATGAATAAATCTCACGAAAAACCACTTATGTGAAGCTTTGGATCGACTTGTCCACATAATGATCAGCGTCAAAGCAACTACGTTCGTTTTTGCTGAGGCCAAAATCACAAAGCAGTAATCCGGGCGGTTTCACGCTTACATTCGCCGCGACTTGTCAAATGGTGCTCGCAATACGAAGTCTTCATCACTTGCTTAGCAGCGAGCTCACGCCACTCCCTAACTGCAGGATTTTACCACAAAAACAGCCAATTGTAGAGGCAAATCACGAATGAATCCCCCGCTAGACTTTGAACCAGGTATCGCACGCGACATTGTACCGAATTTCACTGCATGAAAAACCGTATTGACACATAGAAATGCCACTTAATTTAGATTAAGATGTCAAGGAAAGGTCATAACCAACTGTTCTACTCCATAAGGAAATGGAGACTTAGTAAGAGGGACTAAGCGTAATTCTTCACAGTAGTGCAGTGTCGTGTTACCGACATGCAGAATACGTTTTGAAATATGGCAGCAGCAGGAGTAATGCGCAGACAACACGGTTAAATTAGTATGTGTCAAGCCGGAACAGCAATTCAGGTTTTACAGGTATACCACAAAACGCCTTAAACTGAAAAGGCATCATCTATGGCCAAACCGAACATTGGCAAGTTACGACAAATCAAAGTAGAAAGCGCTAAAGAGATTTGGACAGGGTCGACCGAAGCAAGTTCACCTGTGGGGGGTCCAAGTGCATCCGCTTCAGGTCCTCCACGCAACTGCGATTCTGTGGCGTGGCGGATGATCCTGAAGGCCTCTAGCAGGGCTCGAGTGTGGTTCGTCTTGGTTATCCGAGAGCTCCGAAGTCCGTAGATGTGTTCACCCAGAAACTAATAGGGAATTCGGAAAAAAACCTGTCAGACAGGTCTCCTTGCCAGGAAAAGAAAGCATCGGTTCAATTTGGGGCACTTTACGACTACGTCGACGGTGGGACGTGACCGCTGGGTAACCTGTGGCAGAGTCGTGCTGTTCCCAACAAGAAGCGCAGTGAAAAAATCGACACAATCACAAAGGACAGCCTGTTTGGTTGCTTGGGGGACAGTGTTTAATTCCTCACGCTAGGTGAGCCCTGTAGGAATTGGCAGAAGCCCATTGGTTGATATGGAAAGACCCCTCCAATAGAAATGCTGGACAATTTTGCCTTGTCAACAGAAAAATCGGCCAACCCACCAGTTTCGTTTCATGGGTGGCAGGGTAGAGGTCCAGGTGCTGGCTGGTGGGGCCGGCGTGGGGGCGTGGGACGCGCGTCCCGTCGGTGGCCAAGACCAGACCGACACGGTCCTTCTCGCTCAGCGACGCGACCAGGAGGCGGGCGACCTGTTGGCCGAGGAGCATTCGGGTGCTGCTAACCTCGCTCTGGTCTAGGACAATGACCATCCAGATCGGCTTCGTCACCACCGAGCGGACAAAGACGTCGCTAAAAAATGCAATCAATAATTCAGACATAGCCTCATCCACTAAGTTTCGATGATGGAGCTGGCAATTCGGATGACAACTGAACGCGCTGATTGACACTAAATTCGCAGACGTCTTAATGAATTTCGAGGTTATTTAACCGTAATTAACTATCACTGCTTGCACGCTGGCAACAAGCAGTCAATTAACTTCGTGTGGAGTACTGTGAAGGGCGATGAAAAGGAAATATTGTTTAAAGAACCCCAAACGTAAAAGGTCGAGGGTAGACCCCCAGCAACCAAGTACATCGACGCCGAAACAGGACATCAACTTAAATAAGATTCTCCTGTGAATCTGGCGAGGGGACATGAAGGGTGGACTTTACTA